GAGCATTCTGATTTGGGGGAGCAGTGATGCTCCCTCCTGGTGGGGAAGTCTGGAAAGAAAGCTGCTTCCCCTGGCAGGTCCCCTCCCCTCCCACTCTTATTAATTCACACTTTCCCAGCCCAGAGCACCCTGGAGGGGCTGTTTCTTTTTACCTGAAGCAGAGACAGGCATCTTGCTTGATTTACAGGCTCCAGGGCGGGTGGCTGGTTGCTAAGGTGTATTTTAAATGGAAATCAGGGTGGAGAGATATCACATATATCTCGCCAGCCATCTGCTAAATGCTGCCTCTTCTGTCTGGAACAGCTCGAGGTGGTTCTGACAGGGAGGCAGAGCCCAGCGGTGGGGGAGAGGGGAGGAAGGCCTGGCCCCGAGGGAAGTCTGTGGTCTGTCCTCTTTGAGCCAAGGAACGGGAAATTTCCTTTTCTGCCGTGCCCATTATTTTCCCACTCTCTCCTCATCTTTCTTTTTTCCTTTTGTTTTAAATATAAAATCCCATCTGGAGATTCTGATTACAAACCAACAGCCTAGTCCCACAACTCTATGTTTATTGCCAGTATATATGTATAAGAGTGTGTGTGTCTGTGCATTTGTGTGTGTGTGTGCGTGTGTGACTCTCCACCATCAGGGCCTGGCAGGTGGATCTTTCTAAGCCAGGTAGGCCTGTGCCTCTGAGAATGCCAGAGTTCCTTCCAGGCCTGTCCCCAAGCAAGGAGCACAAGTGCCCAAACGTAGCTGGACAGCTGGGTCGTCACCAGTTACTAAGCAATCCTGCAGTGGAAGCAGCCAGTTTCTCTGTGCACACCAGGCACACGGGATCATGGAAGCCTCTGGAGGGGACATCTCTACTCTGAGCATGGCCTAGAACCAAAGCATCCTCAGTTTAAATCGTGGCTCTTCCCAGGGTAGCTAGAGGAGTTTGGGCAGGCCCGAACCTTCTTTGAACCTTACTTCCTAGTAGTTCAAATGGGGATAACGACACTCTGGGCCACAGGATATGGTGGGACAGGCTGCTCACTGCACAAGGTTGCTCAGGTAAAGGATCCTACAGATGTCCGCAGGGACACCTCTTTCTACCTGCACAAGGGCACCTTGTGCACTAATGGCAGCACTTACCTTGCGGAGTTGTGAAGACCGCATGAAGAAATCCGATCAAGGGAGGGAGGAGATACTGTTCCTATGCTGGGTAAACACCCAAGACTGGGCTGGTTCTCTGGGACACTGTAGGTTTGGAGGGTGGGAGGAGTGTTTCTCTTCCTCTCCCTGCTCTCCTGTTTCCGCCTCTTCTTGCAAGCCCCTCTCCCTCCTTCCCCCCAGTGCAGCCGCATAGACATTCTGAGCAGACAAGCGCTCGCTCCTGTGCGGATGGCCTCCTCCTACGATGGCTGATTTGACATTTGATACCAGCATCCATGCACAGCCTGGCTTCTGATCCCCACACGCCTCGCTCAGCTTTGCCCACAAGTAACCCGTGGCCCTCCCGTCCACTTTCATGTGTCTCTTTCCTCCTGGTCCTGGACCTCTTCTAACTGCCGCCTCTCCTTGTTCCCTTCCACCACCCACGCCACCCTTAGGTGTTGGGAGGGATCTGGGCCTGGGGTTCCTCCTTCCAGCATTTGTCTAAATTCCTGCCAAAAAGAGGGGGCCCCTCACCCCAGATATGCAACAATTACGCGTATTCATCCCGTCCTCTTGTCTCCCTCCCAACCTGGGGTTTAAGCCGCCTTTTGTCTGGCTGTTAGAATAATATATAAAGTGACAGTTCTCAGAATACAACTTTAATTAAGATTCAATAGTCACTTCTCTGTCAGTAATCTTCTATGCTGATTACTTAAAATATATTTACCCAGCTCTATTATGTCACAGATTTAAATTCATTAGACGTTTGTTAATCCTCAACAAACTTTTTCTTTTTAAATTTGGTTCGTGTAGCATAATTTACAAGGACACAACTGTTTGCAACAATGGGCCCTGTGCTCCGAGGCTCCAGGGTGTGCGTCCCAAAGTGTCCAGGCCTTCCTTGCTTGCTGCCACCACTGCGGATCCTCGGCCCAGGGCACAGAGGGCAGGCGACAGAGCCCAGGGTGGGAGAGCCCGAAGGACCATGCAGGCAGCCCATCCACACTGCACCGGTGGAGGAGGGTGGAGGGAGGAGCTGGAGAGACAGGTGGAAGATGGCCCGTACGTGGGTAGCCTCGGCCCTGGGCCCTGGTGTGCCTGACTTGAGAATGTTGGGAGGTGCTGCTTAGCCTTAGAACACTGCAGCATTCACTGACAAGAGCTCATAAGGAAGATGGCCTTTCTCGCGGGGCCATAGAACACTGCCCCCCACGTGGACATGCACGCATAACTACCTCCTGCTTAACTAGCAAGGGATCCGTGGGTGTGGCTGTCCCCCGTGCACCTGTGAGTACGGTGCATTCACCTGCATTCAACTCTATTTGAGCAGATCCCCGCTGGCTCTACTAGGCCCTAGCGTCTAGGCGTTTAGGTAGGGACCTAGACGGCCAGAACACATTTGATCACAGAGCAAGGTGGAAGGTGGAGAGCTTCCATATGTCCATGCCTGTGACCAGGCGGCTCCTGGGTTAGGCTCCTGGTCCGCCTCAGGTCGGAGTTTGGTGAGAACAGGGACTAGCAGGTGGGCAGTTGGTTACGGGGCACTGAGAGCAGAACCGTGTGGGATTGGGCACTGTGGCCAGGGCTTTTCAGGAGGGTACCTGTAAGGGAGAAGATGAATAGAAAAAAATATCCTCTAGAACAGAGCTCAGCAAACTTTCTCTGCAAAGGACAAGATAGTAAATATTTTAGGCTTTGGCGGCCACATTTCATCTGAGGCAACTACTCACCTCTGCCATTGTAGCACAAAAGAAGCTACAGGCAGGTAAGTAAATGAGCATAGCAGTGTTCTAATAAAACTTTATTTGCAAAACCAGGTGGCAGGTTATTTTGGTCTATGAGCTACATGGTTCACAACACTATCCAATACGGTAGCCAATAGCCACATATGGCTATCGAACATTCAAAATGTGCTCTGAGTGTAAAATATACACCAGATTTTCATGCATGATTTGCATGAAGACTTCATGCAAATAAAAGAATGTGAAATATCTCAGTAATAATTGTATTGATGATATATTGAAATAATATTTTAGATATGGAAGTTTAATGAAACAAGTTACCAAAATAGATTTTACCTGTTTGTTTTTACTTTTTTTTTATATGGCCACTAGAAAATTTTAAATTACATTTATGGCTCACATTATATTTTTACTGGACAATGATGCTCTCTCCAGATAAAATATAGGGTAAGTCTTTGACCCTTGGTGTCTCAAGTAGGAGATTTAAACACAATAATGGAATTCACCTATGCATAATAAAGTATATGTTTGGAATAGGTTTTAAAATGCACTACATATCTTTTTTTTTATCTGCTTGTTGTTTTGTCTGTATCTATGTTCCTCAAACTGGGAGCTGTGGAGCCCTACTTCCTTAAGATACTAATAATTGTTGGTCAAAAAGGGGTGTATCCCCTGTATTCATGGTAAAAAAAAAAATGGGAGTAATGCAAAATTAAATGTTAACCCAATGTCTTTGCTGCAGCAGAATTTTCCAACTCTTCTAAACTTGCTCATGTGTATAGAGCTTTTGCAACAGTGGGCAGCACTTCCCCCAACTTATGGGCATTAAAAGCCATCTTTGCAGAACCCTAATCAGTACTCCTGGAAGGCAATTTGAAAAGTGCTCGTCTGCATGGTGCTACACAACCAGTGTGCATGGTTTTCCAGAAGTCCAACTCCATTGGTTGTTTTCAGCATTACATAAATAAAACCACATTTAGTAGAACATGGAATAAATAGTGAGAAACCTGTATGATTTGGAAGGACAAAGACCTAAGTCAAATTTTTATTCCTCCCTTTCTAGTTGTTCATGCAAAAGCTAGGCAGTGTTTTAGGCCCTGGGCATATATTAGTGAGTAAAAATAAGTCCCTTCCTCTTAAGGCTTTATTACCAGAGCAAAGAACAAATGATAAACAAGACAAGCAAGTAAAATATAGAATAAGTTAGTTGGGGTAAGTTCCAAGGAGGAAATCGAAAGCAGAGAAGAGGGCCACGCAGAATGGGGGGTTGTGGGAGAGGGGGTCTGGGAAGGCCTTGGTGGGAAGGTGACTTTTGGGCAAAGACCAAAAGGTCTGAGGCCATGTGCACGTCCCCACCGGTGTATGAAGATAGCTCCTTCCTTGTGCAGGGGGTTCCTAAAGCCCAGACGAGACGATGTGTGTGAGGGCCCAGAGCGCCCGTCACATAGTAAGTGCTCAGAAGTTCAAACCTTTGCCTTCTTCCTGCGCTTTCTTCACTTCCAAAGAGTCATGAATGATGTGGACTCTCCTTAGTGAAGAATTCGTCCAATTAGTGGTTCCCCACTAACCTCGGTATTTCTCGGGGCCAATTCTCTTCTTGTCCACAACCTTGTTCTTAGGGAACGCTGGTCCTATTTAATTTCATGCTGAGCCTAAACCAATTAAAAAGGTAAAACTGTGCTTCAAAATACAGTTATAACATGGTTTTCAAACACAATAATTATTGGGTGATAATAATGGTATGGTATCAATAAATGGTAATGGTAATGGTATCAACAAATAGTTACTGAGCACCTAGCGTGTTCCAGGCACTGAGCTTGAGGCTTGGGATAGCAATTAATACAACAGGCCAGAAGTACCTGCCCTCCTTGTGGAGCTGACATGCTAGTAGGGCAGACAGGAAGCAGTCAATAAACATCACAAATGAGTAAATTAAATGGGATGTTAGAAGGTTATAAGCACTAAGGAAAAAAAGAAACATGGAACTGCGGTAGAGAGATGGGTGGAATAGACTAGAGCTGGCACGAGCACAGGCCATTCTCCGCCACTCCCCAGGGCGAGTGTTTAGCGTGAGGGAGGAAGCTGTGGGTGAGGACATTAGGAAGTCTCCTCTTGACCCTGACCTGTGTCCCTCCCTTCCAGGCACCACGGCCTGAGTGACCAGACCATGGAGACCCTGCTTGGTGGCCTGCTGGCGTTTGGCATGGCGTTTGCCGTGGTCGACGCCTGCCCCAAGTACTGCGTCTGCCAGAACCTGTCTGAGTCACTGGGCACCCTGTGCCCCTCCAAGGGGCTGCTCTTCGTGCCGCCCGACATCGACCGGCGGACAGTGGAGCTGCGCCTGGGCGGCAACTTCATCATCCACATCAGCCGCCAGGACTTCGCCAACATGACGGGGCTGGTGGACCTGACCCTGTCCCGGAACACCATCAGCCACATCCAGCCCTTCTCCTTCCTGGACCTCGAGAGCCTCCGCTCCCTGCACCTGGACAGCAACCGGCTGCCCAGCCTCGGGGAGGACACCCTCCGGGGCCTGGTCAACCTGCAGCACCTCATCGTGAACAACAACCAGCTGGGCGGCATCGCCGACGAGGCCTTCGAGGACTTCCTGCTGACGCTGGAGGACCTGGACCTCTCCTACAACAACCTGCACGGGCTGCCCTGGGACTCCGTGCGCCGCATGGTCAACCTCCACCAGCTGAGCCTGGACCACAACCTGCTGGACCACATCGCCGAGGGCACCTTTGCCGACCTGCAGAAACTGGCCCGCCTGGACCTCACCTCCAACCGGCTGCAGAAGCTGCCCCCAGACCCCATCTTCGCCCGCTCCCAGGCTTCCGCCCTGACCGCCACGCCCTTCGCCCCGCCCCTGTCCTTTAGTTTTGGGGGGAACCCGTTGCACTGCAATTGCGAGCTTCTTTGGCTGCGGAGGCTCGAGCGGGACGATGACCTGGAGACCTGCGGCTCCCCGGGGGGCCTCAAGGGCCGCTACTTCTGGCACGTGCGCGAGGAGGAGTTTGTGTGCGAGCCGCCTCTCATCACCCAGCACACGCACAAGCTGCTGGTTCTGGAGGGCCAGGCGGCCACGCTCAAGTGCAAAGCCATCGGAGACCCCAGCCCCCTGATCCACTGGGTGGCCCCCGACGACCGGCTGGTGGGGAACTCCTCAAGGACCGCTGTCTACGACAACGGCACCCTGGACATCCTCATCACCACCTCTCAGGACAGCGGCGCCTTCACCTGCATCGCCGCCAACGCTGCGGGCGAGGCCACGGCCACGGTGGAGGTCTCCATCGTCCAGCTGCCGCACCTCAGCAACAGCACCAGCCGCACCGCGCCCCCCAAGTCCCGCCTCTCGGACATCACGGGCTCCAGCAAGACCGGCCGGGCCGGCGGAGGCAGTGGGGGCGGGGAGCCTCCCAAAAGCCCCCCCGAACGGGCTGTGCTTGTGTCGGATGTGACCACCACCTCGGCGCTGGTCAAGTGGTCGGTCAGCAAGTCGGCGCCCCGGGTGAAGATGTACCAGCTGCAGTACAACTGCTCCGACGACGAGGTGCTCATTTACAGGTGAGCCGCCGCCCTGGCAAAGGCGGGGGTGGCGTCTGGCTGGGGAAGGAGCAGGGGACAGGGAGGTCTGGTAGCTCTTCCCACCTGTGTCCATTCATCCCAATGGTGCCTGTGGGGATCCTGGGCCACACTGAGCCACTTGTGCAGGTAAGAGGGGACAGAAGGAACATCAGCCACAGGTTAAGAAGAAAAGAAGCCACACCTGGGCGGCCTGAAGAGCTGGGCGCATAGAAGCACCGTGCCTCCCAGGTGGGTGCTGGGGCGGATGGTCGTGTAGCTAATGGCCTCCTAATTTTCTGTCGTGAGCCACGTTCTCATGTAAGAACGAGGAACAGACCTCCTGGCCAAAGGGTCTGGTTCCTCCAAGGAGGAACGCGTTTGGCCTTGGCCTGGACTCATAGGCAGTCATGGTGAAGGCTTTGAGGTCAGAAAGAGTGGGATTCACATCAGAGTTTTGCCACTAGCTAGTCATTTAATTCTTCTGGCCTGCCTCAGTTTCCTCATCTATGAAATGGGGATAATTCATTCCTGACTTAGTTAGAGCACTTGGTTGCAGGTAATTGAATCAAATTGGCTTAAAAGGAGTGTGTTGGCTAATGTCACTGGAAGTCAGGAATCTGCTTCAGGCTTAGCGGGATCAAAGGCCCCCGGGAACGTTCTGTATTCTCCCAGTTTCTTACCTCCCTCTTCCTCTGCGTTGGTCCATCTTCCTCTGGGTTGGGTTTACCCTCAGGCAGTCTCTGTCCTCTGCGAGACTTCTGCCGGGTCCCCCAGGCAGCCCTAGAGCCCACTTAGAACTCTAGAGGGAGAAGAGCCTCCCTTTCCACCTTGAACTCTGATCGAGTCAGACCAGCTCGGGTCTGAGAGGTAGGGCCATCCTGTCCACCTGTGCTGGCCTCCCAGGGCCTCTGTCTCCTCATCTGGAAGTGGAGACAATGATGTTGACCTTGACAAGTTGCTGTGAAGATCAAGGGGCCAATTCCTAGGTCTGGTGGGAAGGGAGTTGAGGGTGGAGAGCTTCAGTAGAATTGCATCAGTCACTCGGAGGGAGGAAGGAGGTCACAGAGGGACAGCATCCCGGGGGGCCAGGGTGGTGACTGCAGACGTGTTCCCTTCCCACGCCAGCCCCAGTTTATATGGAACAGGAGGGGCACAGCCTAGCATCTCACTACTCAAGGAATGCCTGGTGTCCTTGGAAATCCCGTGCGTTTCGCTGTGTGCATGTAAAATGATTATTCAGAGAAGTGACCCCACAGGCTTCACCAGGCAGCCGGAGGGTCCGTGGGGTGCAAGAGAGGTCAAGAACACTTGGTCCATCGTTGAGGTTTCCACCAGCTCTGACTTTCTGAGTTGAGGGGTCTCTGGATGGGAAGCCGTGGGGAGAAGAGCGCATGAGGAGGAACGGGGACAGTGGGACCGAGGGCAGGTTCTCCGTGGACACTGCAGTGGGGCTCGGGAACTCCCCGCCCCTGCAGCTGCTGGGCAGGTCTGGATAGCAGTGTCCGTCTCAGGATGGAGAGAGACGGCATTGGAACTTAGACACACGCATATATGCACGTACATAGGAATATGTAGATGGAGATAAATAATTAAACTTAAATACACATAGATGTATATTTCTCATTATAAAAGTCATAGTGTTTGAAAAAATCATAAAGAGGGAAATAAAAATCACCTGTAATCACACCATTCAAAGTTAACCAGAGGCATTCAGGGAGTGCCTCTCAGTTTCATATCAATTCAAAACGATATTTATGATCGGTCTATTGTATACTTTTGTATCTTAATTCTCTCCACTCAACATTACAGCTTGTTTCGTTCCTATGGTATTAAAGTATTTTTTTGTTTGGCTGTACTGTAATTTATTTACCCAATCTTCTCCTGCCGGACATTCATGTGGTTTCCCATTTTTTCAATATTAAAAGTAATAATGATGGATATTTTTGTGCATAAATACATTTGTGGAACTTCAGTGATTTTAGCATATTTTCCTAGAAGGTGAATTATCGGCTTATGAGTAAATTGTAATCTTTATACATGGCATATAAATATTTATTCACCCTCTCGCTACTGGAAGTGCCCATTTGGACCACAGTTTTTGTCAATACTGAATATATAATTACTTTCATCTCTGCCAATTCCAGAGGTGAAAAATGGCACTTGTTTTAATTTGCATTTCTTTGATAACTTGTGAGGCTGACCTTTTGAAAATAAGTATATTTCTTCACTCGTGAATTTATTATGTGGTCTTGACTTTGATAAAAAAAAAGTGTGAAGACAAGAAGCTACGAGCTCTGAGGCTCGCACAGGCGTGGGGCGCAGAGAAACGCGGCGAGCGACGGGGGAGGCACCTGCATCAAGGAGGCCACGTGCTAAAGTCGCCAACATGGCCCACGCCCAGGGGGTCTCAAAAGTACTGGGCAGGGTGGGGAGGGCTGGGGATGAGCTCTGGCAACCAGCCAAGGCGGGAACTGAGACTGCTTTTGTTTGGTGATTGAGAACCTGGAGATGCTAGATTTATGAATATAATATAAATAAAGCAGTAGCATCAGAAACCTCGCAATAAAAAAAAAAATGCAGCTAACGAAGGTGGCTTCCTCTTAGGGCTGGCCATGAAACTTGGAAGAGATACAGCATGGAAAATTCTTCCAACAGTGTGGGCACCTAGTGAGCACTCAAGGAATGTGGGTTACTGTCATCAGCGATAGTAGCAGTGGCAGTGAGAGAATAATAGTCATAGAGAGTAACACCCTTGTCTGGTCCACCATCCTGGGGAAGGAAACAGAAGAGGAAGATTAGATACCTAATTCAGTCTTTTCTGCAAGAAGACAAGTCTCCAAAACCGTACAGCACAAGGCAAGCCTGAGTCTGTACCCAGGTAATAGTAACAGCAGTCACTATTGTTGCAAGCCTACTGTGTGTTTTGCAGGCAGTATCTCACTGAATCCTTGTCGACGTACCAGGAAGTATAAAAGGCCAGGAGACTTTTTCTAAAAACCTCTCCCAAGGCCACACAGCCCGAGAGGCCGGGCTGTGATTCGAACCCAGGCCCTCGGCTTTGGCGCCCGGTCTCAGCCACTGCGGTTGTGCCACCCACTGTTCGAAAAGGGCATGTGGCTTGAGAGAAATAGGAGGCTCTAAGAAAGACCCTGGGTTTGAGAAAACGAATTGTCCCCATCAGAAAGAAGAGACAGCAGCGGGCAGCGTGGCCCCGTGCCAACAGGGAGGTGTGCGGGAGAAGGGGGACAGGCCTGGGTCCGAAGGCGAATATTAAAGAGGAGCACAGCACGCACGGTGCGAAGAGAGCAAGAGGCAGCCACGAAGCGCTGTTTCAGCTCATGTTTGCAGCCAGAAGAGAAAATGAAGAGGGAATGAGGCTGCAGTGAGAGGCAGACAAGAGGCAGAGCCTGCGACTCCCCTCCCGCCTCGGTCTCCCTGGCAAGGCCGACAGCAGCTGAGGCAGGAGCGGTGACAGCACCAACCCAGGTGACTCGGGCTGGGCACCGCTCTGAGGGTTTTATGTGTGCTGACTCCTTTCCTTCTCACCAAACCCGAGGAGGTGAAAACTATTATTCCACTGCACATAGGAGAAACTCGCCCAAGGCATTCGACAGTGGGTACGCGGCAGAGACGGACTCTGACTCCGGGCAGCTTGTGCGTTTGCCCAGAGCCCCCGCCCAGGAAGGACAGGGCCGATCCCACAGAGAAGGATGCTGAAGCCAGCAGACGTGCATCAGGGTACCATACCTGAGTTCTGGTCCCCAGGCCCCAGTGGGTCACACGCAGGTCAGTAAGGACTCAGGAAACAGGTAGACGAGGTTTGCAAGCCTGTGGTGGTGATCCTGAGATAGTATGGACAGAGAGACGCCTAAGATGGGAGAAGGGCAGGTACTCTGCTCTTCAAAGAATAAACTTCATAAAGCTTAGTGTGCTAGGCCGGACGTGGAATCCCTATGAAATTCTAGAAAGGCTTTCTCGACGTAGGATGGCTGTGAACCCTCGGGAAAAATGCCGACCCAACGTGGGTTCAGTAGGGGCAAATCCTGCCTGATTATGAAGCCATGTCTCCAGGAGAGGCTGCAGACCTGTAGTCTCAGCCTTTTATCTGCCCACTTGTCATTCATGGGGGCAGCGCTCCTTGGGGACATCCCTCCTTGCTCAGCAACTCTCTACTCGACCCTTCCTCACCTCCGTGGGGGAAGTGGACCGGCATCGCTGGGGTGACAGGTACACTTGGAAAATGTCCTAGGAGTTTCCACCAGCCGTGAGTCACTACCATAAACGGGACATGTCACAGTTGCACAGGACGCTTGACAAACCCTCATGCTGTCTTGGAGACAACATGGAGAAACGTAAGTGGATGGAGTGGACTCGTGACTGGCCAAATACCAGGTTAATTAATAAATTGATGTGAACATGCTAGAAAACCTTTGGCTTCTGCCTCAGCGTCTGCCCCCATTTCTGTCGTGCTTGGTGTGTTTTCTAACTTACATAGACAACCACGTCGAAAGTGTGCTCGGCAAATTGCCATGTCCACAGATCTTTCCATCTGTCTATCTATTTATCTTCATTGTGGTTCGAGGAGTCAGTTGTAAGTGCACAAGCTCAAGGTGAGGAAAATATGGCTTGACTAGAATTTTGTGTGCAAAAGCTCGGGGTTGCGGTTGATCTCCAGAACATCACGGCCACAAAGTGATGGAGCCATTGAAAGACTCCTGTAGTCTTTAGTTGTGTTAGCAGAAGGCTAGTGCTGACACCAAAGGAGGTTATGGTTCCACTGAGTCACTAAAGCTGGTCAGAGCAGGGCGGTAATATCTTTAATCCAGGATGGCATAGTCTTGGCACACATGTTTACAAACTGCAGTGTTGATGAGAATGGGATTCTGGGAGTGCGTGTGAGATGGGGAAAGTTTATCCTGAGATGAGAAGACTTAGAAAAGAAGTCCTAACGCCTTCAACTTATTCGAAGAATTTGTGGGTGGAGAGAGAGAGACACACAC